TCTTTGTTGTTGATCATAAAATCATGGAAATATGGTACTCTCGACATTTTTCCTTAAACATAATTGTTCTTTTGTTTAGTTTCGATAGCATTCACCGTTTTCGAGATATTGGTAAATCGATTTCAAAATTCCGCTGTGTAATAAAAACAGTGCTTTCCCTAGACTTTTTCCTAAATAAGGTATACCATATTATTTTCCCAAAAATTATGTTTTTTTGTGAAAAATACTCCTTTTTTAGCATCTACTTCCATTGTTTGATTCAAAATATGGAGGGGTGCAATAAAAATAATAGATGGAAAAATATTATGACATATAGGTTTCTAACTTTATCAATAAAAATAAATTACTATTTTTATCACGGTGACTTTTGAAATCGATTCATCTCAAAAATAGTGATGATGAACTGAACAAAAGTATCTATATAACACTTTTAAGTAAAAATGATGATATATATTTTCCTCGATATTTTCATAATTCCTGGTCAAACTACCGAAAATTGCATATATATAAACAAAGAAGTAGCCCCACCTATTACCCACGACCGTGATCAAAACTAAACTTTAATTTATCACAGAGGGGTTCGAAAATATTTATGAAAAACCATTATCTTGGACCCTCAGCAATTTTTGAACCCATGTTCATATAGATCAGCAGGCACATTGGAATCAACATCTGATGTAGGTATTATAATTTTCCGAAATAGGTAATTCTAATTTGTAGACGAGGTTACGAAAAATCACAACAGGTATGTGAAGAAAGACAGGATGATCCAACAAAAAAAAATGTATAGGTAGCCCCGTGTAGACCACAAGATATTGTACTATATCCCCCAAAAAAATTCGTCTATCTCTTATTGCAATGGAATTATATTATGTATATGCATTGATAAATATCATTGGAATGTCATCATGAATAGAAGTATTTCATCAAAGTTAACAATCTTGATTCCGATAATTATACAATTCCATTACCTGCCTCCAAGGAAATTGGACTTCCCTAGTGTTTTTAAAACCGCATGTAAAAGCATGACATGACAGTTGTGCCCAACCAAGAGGGATACCACCTCGAATACCCCATGACATAGCTACGCAAAAAAACACCTGTTGAGCCCAACCATCAACGTCATAGACTTCCTCCTTATCATTCATTAATTTCCCCAAACGTCTTCTATTTCGCTGCATCCTGTAGATATATCAATGCAACTATTTCAATTGTTTCTGGTGACTCATGGCTCAATATTGCATAAAACGAATGTTTCAATCGTTAGTAATAGCGTAAGTGAATTTATGAATTGAAGCCGACACATTGTTTGAATAGTATTGCACCTTGTCTTGTGGAGTGAGAGAGATTGATAGCAACCATGTAGCGAATGTGATGATCTGGATTTCGAATCTATTTTAGTCTGGAAGACAAAAATGAAGAATAAGATTAGATAAGGTCCTTGAAGTATATTGAGACAACACATTGACATCGAGAAAAAATTATGAATTGTAAAATTTCATCCTAGTTTGTTGTGGATCGCTTTTAGAAATTTTCATGAACGTTAAATACTGTCTGTAGGTTAATCCAGGAGGTGATACATTCATTATTCCAGATTTTTTTGGGATTTTCTCTCCTCGTCTCTATAAAATAAAAATATGAATACTATTTCAATTTACGTGTAGTAAACACAAATCATCTGGAATAATGAATTTCGTAAACGTGTTGAGCTCGACTATTAGTGAAAATTTGTACGTCAATTCAAAATTCAAAAAATTTGAATTTCGTGCAATCAAAATACAATGGAAGTCATCTTCCTATATTCTGTCATATTTTCCTGTACAGGGTGTCCCAAATTGCTCGTCTTGGCAGTTTTTTCTATTTCCAGAACAGCTAGAGGAAAAAGGACCAAGGTGTCTAGAGCTCGATTCTTGTGAATCGTCGATTGGTGAAAATCTCATTTCGATATCTAACCGTTTCCGAGATAGAGGCGAAAATTTAAATTTGACCGATTTCGAAATTATGCCATAAAATTTTTATTTTTAGATATTTTTCTAATCAGAAAAAACTCTCCACAGGCACTTTCTACCGTAGAATGAGATACACCTGCCAAAAATAATATGTCGCTTATCAACTGTCTGGTATCGAAGCCAACGTTGTTATCTCAAATAGAAACCATAGTTGGCTTTGACTCCAGAAAATCAAAAAGAATTCTTTCCAAAAAAATATATGTCAAGATACGATTCAAGATAATGTCTAGTCATCCATCCCATAACAGTACAACGTTGGCTTTGATATCAGACAATTGATACGCGATATATTCTTTTTGGCAGCTGTATCTCATTATACGTTGAAAAAGGGACTGTAGAAAGTTCCTCACGTTTGAAAAAATATCCAAAAATAAAAAGGTTATAGCATATTTTCGAAATTTGGTCAAATGTCAATTTTTACCTATATCTCGAAAACGGTTAGAGATATCGAAATGCGGTTTTCACTAATCGACGTTTCACAAGAATCGAGCCCTTTGCTCAGTTTTTTCCTCTAGCTGTTCTGGTAAAAGGAAAAACTGCCAAAATCAAGCAATTTGGACACCCGGTACACCGAGAGGACAGTCGTAACGTATACAAAAATTAGCTGAAATTTCAACAATTGTGGTAAACTTGCTTTTTTCATATGTTATTTGGGTCCCTTCAGATAGTATTCGTCTAGAATTGCAGTATTTTTTCACTTATTTCAGTTTCACGCAAAAATATCACACGCGAAGGCTCTGAGAAGAAATGTCGCTTATAGTATATAAAATACTGAATTACAGCTCAAACTGTCGAGAATTTTGCATACTCGAAAATAAGTAATAATGACATTTCTTCTCATACCCTTCGCATGTGATTTTGTTTGCATAAAACTTCAAGAATGTGAATGAATTCAGTAGTTTTCTGGCAATAACTCGACCCGTGTACAATTAAGAGTGCTGCATATCTGGACAAATATTGTCTATAAGAGTACCCAAACAAAAAAGTAGTGGATTTTAGTTCCAGGTGAGCGAAAATGTAATATTTTTCCCGTGTATAATACACTATTTTTTTCTGTGACAGAAGAAAGGACGAATCAATATTGAGAAGATATTACATTATTTTGAAATCTATGAATGGGCTTATATCACAAAGAATTTTTATTTCATAATTCGATAGAACTCACCCAAACTAGCTCACCACGGCAAACCGTTTCTTGCTGTGAGCTCCCTTTTATAAAAAAAATATTGAAATCCCCGATTTTTCGGACCTCTGGAAACGAGGCGATGATGTGACGTCAAAACCCTAATACTGAAACAAGACTATTCCAGAGACAGAGATGAATTATACATGATTTCTGACAGAGTGAATTAGCGCGATATCACAGTTGAAAGAATTAATATATCAGTTGTCTCAGTCTCCGTCGGGCGTTTGATATTTTCTTTTAACTATGGCGAGATGAGGTTTCTACGTCATAAGAGGGTCCGTTTTCGGAAGGTACTATTATTTATGTCCAAAAATAAAACATTCCAGTAAATTTTTCGATCGAATTATGTCGTCAATCATTATTTATGTATAAAAGGATCATTATAAACATGGTTTGAGTTGAAAGTTCTACTAAGGTGTACACGCCCATTATCGACGTGAAATTTTAAGTTTTTAACAGTAGGGACACCTGCGTTGTAGGCATCTTTATCATTCTTTCGAAGTAATCAAATATCTGATGTCACTTCTGTCAGTCTAATTCTGTGATTTGACTTCAAAAAATTGCGAATTTAGTGGTTGTTTAGTAATATACGTAACCGCGAAGTCGAATGGAAGATGAAAGGACTTGCAGTTCTTTCTCGGAGACGGTATTATTGACTCATTTTTCGGAACTATAGCACAACAAATATCCGGGAAAAAAGTATTCACTTTTTTCCCCCGGGAAAAAAGTAATTTATGAAAAGTGACATTTCATAACCTGCCAACAGAGATGAAATGCCAAACTTTTTTCCAGTTACAGGAAAAATATACTCATTCTTGGAGCCATAAATGAGTTTTTTTGTATTGAAGGTGCACAATTTCTTTTCATTCTCAAAAGTTTCCAAAAATTCACAAACTCTAGTCTACGATGAAATTTAGTCGTACAGCTTTCCTCAGGTCATATTTTGATATAATTATTGCGACGGATATAATCTCGTAAATTATCATAATTTATTATTCACTGCTAACTATTGCATTAGAATTCCTGCATAACCAGGTCGACTTCCCAAAAATCAAAAACGTAATTTCATATATACTGGCGCCTCATGCTGTATGGTCACATAGGCGTAGTTGGAACCCAAACCCAGGGGTGCTGAAGCGGTGAACCTTATTCAACATAATATGGGTCACAAGTTTGGTCATAGGACTTACTTCCCAAATGTTTTGTTTGAAATTGTACAAAAAAAGGTATTCGAGGACTTGGCAATAGGGTTAAACCAACTCATATTGGTGACTACACCAATGAATAACGAATCATCCTCTAGAGTTGGATCGATTCAAAAATTGAAAAATAGTTATTTTCACCTACCCCCTATTTTATTTCATGGTCGTTCTGTATTATAATGATTACGAATCCAACAATACCAAAGGACCCCGCACGAAAATATGGAAAATTGGCTCCTGGTCAAATTGTCTGAAATTTCAGTATGTTGTTGTGGAATGGTTCATTAGGAAGATATGTGAGTTTGAAAAGTTATGTGTGCTTAGTTCCTGAAATATAAGCCGACAAAGTTCTTCGTATCGGGGTAGGATTGACAAAAGAAAAAAATGTCGAGATATTCGGAATGATAAAAATGATAAATTAACTACGCCTATGCTTGGCGTCTTTGTCCATCTCCAATGACTTATACCTCTTATGAAAAAAATGTCAGTCCCCATATCCTTTGACGACCGATGATAAGGAGACCACACAGGAAAATGATTCGCACTTATCTTGAGATGTCTTGGGACACCATCGCCTGACAGTATTTGTTCAGGCGTTCATGATTTAGTTGCGAACAAGAAGTGAACAAGTGATATATATATAACGATATGAGGAATTCTCTGAAGAATAACCTGAGGAATAGCCTAGAGTTGAGGATCAAGCCTTATTACTCGAGGCTTCATGTGAACGATGATAACAATGATAGAGAGGTAAGAGTTCTTGTGAAAAAGTCGATGCGAAATTGAAATGGGATTCAGGTCTTATTGGGAATACGGTGGCAAAATAATTTTGAAGTGCGGTTTTCACTTAGCTCTGGACGTTTCGGAAGGCAGTGTACCTAACTTGAAAAGGATCACTTTAGTATTTCATCAAAATAAATAGTACCTATAGTATAATGAACTAAAAAAAGTAGATAAAAAATGAAATAATAGAAGTGTTTTGATAAATCCACAACATAGGAAATACTGATTATGGATATGATTATGATTTTTTGTTTCTACTCACATAACTAAAATGGCATTTAGCGTACGGATATGTATACCACGATAATGACAGATTGATGATCTGTGATTTCTACAAAAAATTTAACACGTTACCATCGCAACACAACTTCTTGAACACATTACGATGGTAACATAGTTTTTTAAACACATTCTCAGTCGTTCGAGTCCTGTTCGGCCTGTCAACCCGTTTTTAAAATCTCATTTTGAAGCTGAAACTTCAGATGAAGAGATATGAAGATCAGAATTGGCTCAAGATGAACATTATACAGTGCTGTTGGCGAGCTGTGTATATCACTAGAGACGACTCCACTTGGTCATAATGAGATCATAAATATGCTCCTACTGTGAAAGTTGAAAAACAAAAGTCTCTCTTCATTTGGGATACTCTTAACATTGTACCATGCTAACTTCCATTCACACCTTCGATACGGTATCCTCAACTGGGGTATGAGTGCTTCTGTCCAAAGGATATTTCTCCTCCAGAAATATGCTGTTAGAATAATAGCTAAGCTAGGTTACCGAGATTCATGCAGATATGCTTTTGAACAGCTAAAAATTCTTACAGTTGCCAGCACTTATATACTAGAGGCTAGTGCATACGTTTACAAAAATAAATCCAATTTTCAGTCCTCTCGTCCAAAACATAACCACAATACTCGTTCTAAAGATCTAATATTACCAAACGCTCATAGAACATCTTTGTTTGAAAAAAGCGTAGAGTACAGTGGGTGTAAATTATACAATATGCTTCCAATGCATCTTAAGAATTCCCCAAATATTAATGTATTTAAAAATCAGCTGAAAAAAATGCTACTTCAAAGGACTTGTTACACCATTCAAGGGTTCATTAATCAACTAACCTGAGATCTTCAGCTTTAGCAATTGTGTGTTGTTTATATTATATTGACTTTTTAGTTTGTTTGTGTTATTTGTGTTGTATATATTACTTGACTGACTTTTAGAATATGTTACATGGTAATTATTTACATTTATACGTTATTTATATTTACTTTTAGACTTTTGACATTTTCTTTGTTTATTGTGCATTGATTTTTTTTTCAACTGTACTTTTCAACCAAAGAAATAAATAATATTATTATTATTATTATTATTATTTGAAAATCTCGAATTTTTGCACAGTTTCAGGTAACACCCTGTAGCGATTTTATGTGAAGAACTTCATGTTTTGACGAATTACGAGATTATAGCTGCAGGACTGGGATAACGAACAGTGTGATCCGACACAGAGGCAACATTTTGGGGTGCGATGAATTTAGTGTTGCGTAGTTGTCCATTTTATTCGGATAATGGAACAACATTATCATATATATATATACAGGGTTTCTCAAAAGAACCGGAACGGTCGAATATTTCAGCAACGACTTGACATAAAAATATGAAATTTGATATACGGGAGTTATCAGTAATGCCGGATCTGAAAATACTATTTGCAACGTTGCCAGATTTACAGTTTTTCCTATGGACTCCTCAACTTTATTTTTTCAAATGTAATGCTATATATATTTTCAGCGCATTCAATTCGTCATGTTCAAATTACTATGACCCTATATAATATCAAATTTCAATTCTCCTAATTTTTGTTAATATGGCAATTCCACATTTCGTTAAAAAATATCACCAAATTTCAATATCTCGAGAAATCGTAGCGTTATGACGATGAAAATTAATTTATTAGAAATTTGTTGGCAAGTCTCATCTAAAAATATGATTTACAACGTTGTCAAATTCACATGTTATTTTCACGAAATCTTCACTTAACAAGAAAACCATTTTATCTTGATGATAAGCAGATGGTTGACAACAATAACAATAAAACTTGATTAGCTATTTCCAAAGGCCACTTTATACATCTTGATTTTAACAATATTTATCAAAGTTCTGTTATTATCGGTTAAGAAAGTACATAACGCACGAATTTTCAGAACTAAAATTCGATTCAAGATTCAAACATAATCAAAAGGGTTTGGTTTGTTTCAATATTCAGTTGTAAAAATGTACCTTACTTTATGGTATCAACTGAAATTTAAAAAGGAAGTTTAAATGCTACGATTTCTCGAGATATTGAAATTTGGTGATATTTTTTAACGAAATGTTGAATTTCCATATTAACAAAAATTAGGGGAATTAAAATTTGATATCATAGGGTCATAGTTATTCGAACACGACAAATCGAATGCGCCGAAAATATATATAGCATTACGTTGGAAAAAATAAAGTTGAGGGCTCCATAGGAAAAACTGTAGATCTGGCAACGTTGCAAATACTATTTTCAGATCCGGCACTACTGATAACCCCCGTATACAAAATTTCATATTTTTATGTCAAGTCGTTGCTGAAATATTCAACCGATCTGGTTCTTTTGGGAAACCCTGTATATATATGTGCGAAGTATAACTTTGATTCGACGTTTAGAAGTAGGTCAATATCACTCGTCTATCTGGATATAACTATATTCATAGGAGTAGTTGCTGCTGTCTCTGCTTCAAAGGAAGATTGTGAAAAGTTATTCGGAGGAAAAAAAAACGTACATTCAAAATTTTGGTGACGAAACATTTGAAATTTTGGTGGCGGAACATTTGATATTTTTGGTGGCGGAACATTTGATATTTTTGGTGGCGGAACATTTGATATTTTTGGTGGCGGAACATGACTCACCATTTAGTTCGAAAATAAATCAATCTCTCATTCTGAAGATCGTGATCAATATAATGGAACAAAACTATTCACTTTTGCTATTTTCATCGGTCCTTGAAGTGTGCGAAGTTTTCATTCAATTCGAACGAAAATCTGGACGGACCTGTATAACATGCTATAAAGTTGCACTCGCAATCTGGCGCAATGAAATTGGAACGATCCGTACAAATAATTTTATATTTAAACCCTTCCAAAGAGTTTAAATGTATACATCCTTTCCTCACCAACTAAAATGCCCTGTTGCTAATTGGCAGTTATTGTACCAGTTTGTTGAAGGAAATGAACAGATTAGCCAACGTGATTCGATATACTGTCAGGAAAACCGTGTGTTTCTCGGGTAATTTCCAGTGAAAAGGGTAAAAATGGAGGTTCAAACAAATACCGTATCAGGTGAATCGTCACAGGTAAAAAAATCCATATATTTTTCAAAAATATTTTAATGAGTTAAAAATGAACTAAGTACGTGAACAATTAGAAAGAATATAATGATTTGATGAATTACAGTAAAATTATACCTTTTTGCACTAATTCATTAGTCCATTCAACATGAAACATTATCGTTCATAAGAACTGTTTTCAAATTGGTGAATGTTGATTATCAACAAATTGTAAATGATTTTTATCGATCATATATACACATTGAAGGGTCGATTTTTCGCTAAATTTATTCGACATTTCTGTAGAGAGGTTCAATCGATCAAAAAACGAAATCGAACTTATTTCAGATACAGGGTGTTTCAGAGTTGTGGTGACAAAAGCCTAGGGGAGAATCCTCTCAAGAAAATATAAAAAAAATAGTTTTTCATAATTATCTTGCAAACGCTTGAGCCGATTTGAATAAAATTCTTATGGTTCATCATCACAATCATCAGACATTTACTGTTTTCACTTTTCACAATGTGGTTAGTTTTTTACATTTTCACTCAGTGGTATAAATAAAGTTGTGGAGTTAGTCATTCATCTACTATTTCATTAATTATTGCTATATTTCTGTCTTTTTAACGGCAAATTAACCTATAACAATTGATATACTCTACAAGTACTTGAAGCACTTGGTTGAGACATTGCTATATGTCAGTCCCCCTGATAAGATCCTCGTGCAAGTAAATGTAAAGCAGCAAGTATCGGAAATACTAGGCATTAGTTATAAATATTCTCTAAGTACTCTCTATACTGATATCTTACAAAAACTCAACTAATATTTTTTTTCGTGTAGTGGAATGAAAGTAGCCCACCAATGTCTTCTATCTGTGGTTTTATTAATGGTATGAAAACTTCTAAAACCAATACTTTTGGCATGTGATAGATTTTCCTAAATTTAAGTATGGATTTGTTGAGAAAGCTGGTGGATATCTGCCACTATAAAAAGTGGAAAAAACATGACAAATTGTTAATTTATTATCCATCTATGCCTTAGAAAATCAGAAAATCTGTGAGTGGTTCGAATAACCACTTAGTGAATCGGACCGATTATCCAAAAATCGATTGCACATTATCATTTATGAAAAAAAAAGTCATAAAATTCAATACTCTCCCTAAAATGTATAAGATCTTCAAATTCTGTGAGAAATATTTTATCAAAATATATCAATGAAAAACTTTTTTTTTCAAAACTTGGGGACCCCATATCTCGGAAACGAAGCATTTTTGGGCCCATGTTCATGTGAAGTTTTCTCATATTTTGATGAGAGGAATCTTCCCTATACTTTTGTCAGTACAACTCTGAAACACCCTGTATATTTTGATAAATGGTTTCTGAAGTTCTTGTTTTTCAAAGTTATAGTCATATTCATTCTAGAGGAATTCTGATGTACAAAATCATCGAAATCATTTTACTGAAGATTTAGAATTTTCAGTCACATATATTTCTGTACGACAGATCCTTTTATTCATATTATTGAAAATTTCATGAACATTTTCCCTTCGATTTTACAACTTCTCAAACTCTTTAGCGTCCCCTGTTCATTGCTGGAAAATTATTAATTTCAGTGTTGCAAGTTTTTATATTATTTGAAATCGCGATAAAATTACCTAATCAAGTAAATAGATATCTGATTCATCATATCGAGGAATGAATAAAATTATTATGAGCAATTGGTTTTGAAGCAAGATAGTGTGTCGGCGACAGTGTTTTCCCAAAGATTAGTGTTTCAACAGTAATAATAGTAAGTTTGTTATACTCAAATATAAAAACTTCAAAAACGATCAGATTTACACAAAAAAAGTATAGCTTCTTCAAGTGGAATACAATACAATTAACTATAAACTTCATACTTCGAAATTACCTCATTTTCGGAAAGTATATGCAAAATAATTTACATTACAATTCGCTGTACCATATTAGGTGATAAATATGTGATATCATCCCTTTCAAGGTTAACAGGTAAGTACACGCAATCAGTAATTTCAAGAGGAAAAATAAACAACACTAATTATTAATTTTATTGACAAATTCTTTTTTTTTGTAGTCATTTTTTTTATATTCTCAGCTCATCTTGCGAATTTTTGTGTGAACAATACCTAATGATCAGAAAGCGAAAGAAAAGATGCAATATTTTCAACGATATCAATAGTTATTTGTTTCACTAGGCAGCAAAGGCAGTCAATATACTTTGCTGCCATGTGAAACATATTTTTTTCTCCAAATGTTATAAAACCAATTGTTTGAATTTTTTGTTGAAGTCTTTGTCAATTTCGAGACATACTGAAAATAAACACCATGACCAAGTGTAGTCATCTCCAGTGATAAACACTGCTCGCCAACAGCCTGGAACCACCCAAATTCCCGGAAAATGTTATTAGAAGCCAAGATAGGTTGAAAATCACTTCGGATTTGAAATCAGGACGTCCAACTCACTGACTATACATAGTATTCCTGGAAAATTTTCAGTTCAGAAACATCAAATTTTGTCTCACTTCTCATGGAAGCACCCTCGTATCTCACATAATTATTGAGGTAGGGTTCTTAAATTTGCAGGAAGAAGCGAAAGGGACGTCCTGATTTCGAATGCGAAGTGATTTTCAACCTATTTTGCCTCCTTATACCATTTTTGGAGACAACTCTACTTGGTCATAGGGTGTACTTTCAGTATATCTACCGCTCTTGCAAATTTCAGAATCCTAACCCAACAATTACGAAACATACAGGGGTGCTTCCATTAGAAGTGAGACACACTGTATAATGTCCATCTTACGTCAATTCTGATCTTCATATCTCTTCATCTGAAGTTTAAGCTTCAGAATGAGCCTGAGATTTCAAAAATCGGTTGACGAGGAAAAAAGTTATGACTGCAAAACCAAAAAGTTAATTTTTTGAGATCACTCTGTGAATAAAAGAGATAAGGAGACAATTCGAGAACTGTCCCAAGATAATGAGATCATCTACATGCCTCCACTGTCAAGGTTAAAAAAAATGTTTTCTTCATTTGGGATACTTTTGAAATTTCCGAAATTTTGCACAATTTCAGGTAACACCCTGTAGCGATTTTATGTGAAGAACCGTATGTTTTAAAGAATTACGAAATTATAGCTGAAGGACTGGGCTAGCGAACAGTGTGATCCGAATTCAAATCGTTCAAAGCAGAAAAAAGTTATTCATATTTCAACAGAGGCAAAATTTTGTGGTGCGACGAAATTAGTGTTGCGTAGTTTAATAAAAGCGTGTTTTTGTAATTTACAGAACTACTATTTGTTATAATTTTTGTTTTCAGGACAACAAGGGTATGGTGAGTCCAGCAGCAGCCGAACGGGCCGCTTCGGCCACCGTTCGGCTCAACATGCCGACGATAGCCGATCAGACGAAACAACTGCCAGCGCAGCCTAGGCCTGCCAAGACGAAGTTCACGCGACGTATCACGCCTGCTTTCGCGTCAAATGTCTTTCTCGCGATACTCGGTGAGTCGATATTGTTTTTGATTCCTGCTGTTCCGAAGTATTGACTTTTGACTGTTTTGTTTTCGCCTGCTTTTGTTTCCCCTAGCACTTGTCCGCTTACTCTGCTTTCACTTGTCCACGAGAATCAGTGATAATCGCTAATACCGATATCGAGTTGCCATAGTCTGTGGGTCACATAATATCACACATAACAGTTGGAACGACAAATTATTGATTTTGTGTTAACACAAATGAATCACATTACTTTAACAAAATCATAATTCATCAGAACCATTTTTGAACAATTTGAACCGTACATAAATCTCAGGTAAGTAGGGCTCTATAACTTATTGTTGCTGTAGATCTACTAGTTCAGTCAGACGATTGAAGATGTCGCTCAACGAATTATGATCTCCAATGATCAGGGACGAACCGAAAGAAACATTTTCTAGCTTTAGCTTCCATGAACTTGAAACCTAAAAAGGATGCACTAGGTCATCAAGAATAAACAACATTGTTACGGTTGATTATTTAGGTTGGGTCCATGGTTGGGACGTATACCTGATTTGTTTATCATTTCGGCAGATTTGGCATCTCATACCCATGCTGGAGATATAAATACAACATATAGTTTTTTTTGTATTCATCAGGATCAGATTCTCTGGATCTGATTGATTGGATAAGTTGTTTACCTTCATTTGATTATAGAACCAAACACAGAGGAATATACTAACCTAACATTTTCCACTTCTTTCTCCTACCTGGTACTGGGCGCGATATTTGCTATTAGGTCTGGCACCTGGTTTAAAGGAGTTCATCGATATAACGTCGATAGAATACACAAATAGGTCACTCTGTGGTTGTATGCAAATGGAAACTACAATTCGAACATCCTTGAAAATTGAATAAACCTGATCTGTGAATGCAGGTAGAATATTCTCACCACACGGATTACTGTTGCATTGCATACATATATGGCACGGTTCGGGTATTATTGAACTCGTATAACACGCTCGTATAAACAAAGTAAAGTCTGAGGTCTTGCTTCTATCTACTTACTCATATTATTATAATAATCTGTCAAGTGATTCACATTGATTGTTACTTATATTTATTTTTGTTAATTCTTTCGGTCGCAGAAAAAATATCATGTTTCATTCGGATCAAAAGTGTTGTGTTGTTTGACAAGCAAATTTTGCGAGGCGCGAAAACAATCTACTATTTATACGATTTGATTTTTTAGAGTGAAATTATGTACTCGAAAGACATTGGTGTCTGAAATTCACCAATCCATGAGTATCTTTTATAGCAGTAAGATATACAGTTTTTTGTTTTCATTAAATCAATGATCAGTTTGACACGAATCAAACATTTATGGCTCCTACAAGTGGGATGATAGAGAGAACTCACCAATAAATGACGAATGAGAGAGAGGCAACGAATAGCCACCACAGGTAGCTATAGCACTGTTGGCCCTCTCTCTTTTTTACGTGACTTTCAATGTTTTGTATATACAGGAAGGTAAGACAAGATGAAATGAAAGACGTATGGTGGGAAAAATTGCACATAAGTGAATTGCAAAGATTTATATCCTTATTTCGGTATACCGAAAATAATAAGAATATTGTACTATGCCATAAATTACTTCAATTACTCATCATCACCTAGCTTTGAGATGTATTTTGTATGAATCACCATCAGATAATGATAATGATATGTAATGTCACAGTTAAAAGAATATACAATTATATTCTTTTAACTGTGGTAATGTTATAGGATATTCTAGTCCCAAACGTGAATCTGTTGGATAGAGTTACCTTCTCATTATTTGATATTCTGTTCATAGTGAGTGAATTCGTGACGTTGGGTCTGCCGGTTGTTTGAACGACGATAAGGCAGTGACGTAGACGATGTTGAATTTGTTTTAATTGTGTTATAATTCGTTTTCTGCTAATGGTTTAATGAGTCAGTTATTATTCATCGGTTTTGTTTGCCGACGGTAAATTGTTTTGTCAGTAATCACTTTTTCAGTCATATTGAAATTGAGTGGTTTTGGATTTGCATTTACTTATATAAATGCTTTTGTGGTATTCCCTTATATATTCAAGGTTCATAATTAAACCCTGAAAATAGATACTTGAATGCTTGTTCTTGGTAGCACTCGAATATTGTGCGAAATTGGAAATGAAACAATTTGAATAGCTCCTGAGAATGTTTCTTCTTTAGTTAACTACCTCAAAAACTGACCGATCAATGTACCAAATTTTTTCATGAGTTCGTGATTCACAGACATATAGCTAATTTATTATAAGCGTGACCTCCCAGTCCAGGAGTAGGAATAAGATGGAAGGAACATTGAGGGAACTGTTTTGAATAGTTGTAGCCCTGAAAATGCAGGGTCTGCTGACCGAAACCACAATAATTATTGTGCGGCTGGCTTCTGTTTGTTGACTGCGTTGATTTGTTTTTTCGTCTTCCACCAAGTGTTGCCTGTCTTTTGTACATTCTTCACCGTACTGATGAGGACTGGAAACCCAAAAGGGTTATGTTCAATAATCTCTTCCTAGTTTGCTTGAAACAGTTACCTCAATATTCCTTCCATCTCAATAAGTTATTATAATCAGTAATTGCCATATCATATTTCATTACTAAATGTAGTTTATAATAATAGTATAAACCCTCGTATAAACCTTCTTGTCATATCTATAGATAATATTGTTAAGTATATTTGCTTTGCTATCTTTATTCAAAATCATTCTGGTTCACTGACCAGATTTTTTCATTTCGCGACAGTGAGAGCATAGATGTGAGGCTGCGAAAGTATCAGTAAAAACTATTGATTTTATTATTTATTAATTATATAGGTACCTATTGGGTGTGTGGATTGTAATCAAACTAATATGGATATCATTTGTCCTATTCTGGGTATAACAGCATAAGGAACATACTAATACCTTGATACTATAATTGAATTTTGAAAATATCGATATTGGTTATCGGTTACGTCATCTATAGAAACCCGCACACAAAACATAGGTATAATCACCAAATCCCTTCACAGCTATCATATATTCATTCACCTGGCACCAGATACCAACTCAATCTCTTACCAATTTTTTTCTCAACCACAGCTCGTCAGTGAGAAGCTCGGATTCCGTATGAGGATCAACAGGTTTTTCCTCTGTAAGTTACCCAAAACACAGCAGGTCTACCTCCAGAACCTCCAAAATCTCCACCGCTAACACTCCTTATTCATTGCAGTTCTGTCCCTCCTCGTGCTAGCCGAATTCGGCTTCATCCCCGGACCGAAGCTGGGCTACTACTGCCAGGACCCCAGCATATCCCACAAGTTCCAGGGAGAGGTGGTGTCTCCCCTGGTCCTGCTGGTGGGCTCCCTCGTGCTGCCCCTGCTGGTGCTTCTCTGCACAGAACTGATAGCCAGCCGGACGTTCAAGAAGGTGGATTGCGGCTTGGTGTGGTACTATTACAAGGAGTGCGCTATAGGGTGTATCCTGGTATTGGCGCTGACGCAAATTGCCAAAGTTCTTGTCGGAGAACACCGACCGCACTTTTTTGACGTTTGCGAGCCAGATACTGCGCAAGGGTGCGTGCCAGGGAGTTTCGTGGAGAGCTACAGGTGCACTAGTGCCAGGTTCAGCGGGTACTTCCTCGTGGACTCGTCCAGGTCTTTTCCCTCGGGACACTCTTCGGTCTCGTGGTTCGTCGGGGTGTTTTCAGCGGTAAGTCACAATGCATAAAGGATAACCAGAATTGAAACTCGCTCATCAGTTGCTATAAGCAATGACCTTGGAGTGCTTGAAACCATGAAAGTACCTCCAGTTTTGCTACTAGTGTAGCAGTATGGCGGAGGTACGATCTAATGGAGTTCGTCATAGGTACGATCTATTGGACTTGGTCATAGATTCGATATCCCAAGCTGACATAATTATTTCATTGCCTTATCCAAAATATATCAAAATTTCGAGATAATAGGCTTTATCAAGGCCGTTCTCAGGTTTTCTTCAGAGGGGAGGGGTCCAAGAAAAAAAAGTGCTAATTCAAGAATTCTTTCTGGCATGGCCTTGGGTTTCATTATCAATTTTCCGCGAGATTTCTGAGGTTGATATAAATTATTCAAAGTTACGAGAACAAAGATCAATAAATTCTGTTTACTGAACTAGACCCTTGGCTATTCTTGAAAAGGCCGTGAAATAATTAGATCATCGATATTGTTTATATATTGATATTGTTCTCGTTAATGAAGTCGATATATTTAATCGATAATGAAGTATATACTCGAGTATAGATGAGTCGATTTTTCATATAAATTAAGCAACGAGGTAAGTATCTCATGAATTGTTAAGTGGAGGAAACGAATTTTCCAAATGTTTCTACACTTTGCTATAGCGTTAGTAACTTTCGAAATTTGACAACCTGAATTTTCCTAAAACATTTCGACAAAAATTTCTCCCCTTGTACACGTTTGACAAAAAAAACACATTTTTTTCAATATCAATAAGATCAGTTTTTTCACATAGCAAAATCTGACATTTTAGTATTTTTCCGAGAAAATTATTTAGAAAAAAATATGAATGAAAAAACGGTGGTGGGATTTTTGAGTTATATGAGGTCATTTTATCAGCAAAAATTGTGGGATCGACTTGCTCTGTATATTGAAAAGGGGGCCCAAAGTTATTTTATTTTACTCAAAGAGTAGGACGGGTAATGAACTGGTATTTTTGAAAAAGTACTGACAAGGCTGATATAGTGAATCGAAATTTCGATTATTCTTATACAATCATCCGGCATAGTGTATGATGTGAACCCGAGTGTGAACCCTAAAACTTTACCTGTTTCAAATTTGTCTGAATATCTGAAAAAAGAGCTATTATAAAAAGAAAAAATTGAAGAATCTTAGACGCTACCGCGTATTTCTTCTACTGACTACGATCTAGATCTTGAACGTTCTGCTTCACATTACCCCAACGGAAAATTCCAGTGGTATCAGGTCCGAGGATCTTGTCGGCCATTTAATGAGAGGCTATCCCGACCAATCCACCGATTTCTATAGTTCTATTCAGCCATTCTCTCACCACAATGTGAATTTTGATTTGGCAACAAAATTGTCAATATAGAACATTTTAATGAAATTTGATTTCAAATTCCTCTTAAGAAAAATCGTTACTATTATGATTTATTGAATTTCAACCTCTTAAAATATTCGCATTAGGCCTTGGTTTTGGAAGAATGAGATATAGTTTCGGTACATAAGTACCGTTTTTCAAGCTCCACAATAAAAAAAAACGTTGAATTGATACAAATTTCATTGAGGTGTCAGGCTTTTGAGTAGGTCGTACTCAGTACGTGGCGGAAATTTGATCGAAAGACAAATGATAGAAAAACATTTTATAGAAGTCTTTTGATCGAAAATCAAAAAATAGAAAGAACTTTTCACCGAAAATACATTTATCGAATGTTTTATGATAGAAAATACATTTGATAGAAACATAAATGATAGAAAATACAATTGATAGAAAAAATATTTGAAAGAAAATACACTCGATAGAAACAGAATTTGATGGAAAATTCAACAGGTCTACGCTAAAGTTAGATCAGTTCGTTTGTGAAGATATGATCCTTCCTCATATATTTGAGAAGAAGGAGCTAGAAGTTTGTGGTATCAATAAATTCATAAGCTTCGATTTCCATCTAGCTCCTTCTTCTAAAATATATGAAGAAGGATCATATCTTCACAAACGTACTGACCTAACTTAAGCGTAGCCCCGTTGAATTTTCTACCAAATGCTGTTTCTATCAAGTGTATTTTCTATCAAATATTCGTCCTATCAATCGAATTTTCTATCATTCATGTTTCTATCAAATGTATTTTCTATCATGAAACATTCGATCAAATGCATTTCTATCAAATGTTTTTCTATCATTTGTCTTTCGATCAAATTTCCGCCACCCGTACTGAGTACGGTGCAGGGTACAGTTTGAATTCTGGTTATTGTTCATTCTTGTGGATTAGTTCTGCCTAACCTTACCCAAAAGCTTCACCATTTCTAATTCTCTGTCTCTTTCACAGTACGTCATCCAAACGAGACTGCCAAGTGTTCGTACCGGCAGGCTGTTGAAGCCTTTCCTGATATCGCTGTGCCTCACGTGGTCTCTGCTATGTTCTCTCACGAGGATCACCGACAGGAGGCACCACTGGTGGGACGTACTGGCAGGTACCACTTTGGGTGTACTAGGAGCTCTGTATACTATCCAGATGGTGCATAAGAAGATGCACGGCAGTAGTAGCATGGCCAATAAAGTGTGTTCTTCTACCACTACTTTGGTGGACGTCAAGAATAAAGATGCCACTAGTGTGATTATTTGAGTTTCAGTGATATTGCGGAGAGGGGTTGAGTGATGTGACTTTTTGTCATCCACTTCCTTGAAGTTCAGGATAAATAATGAATCCATTTCCCATAGAAAATGATAGGAATTTCAGACTAGTTTTGAACTGAAAGAGTTAAGAGAGCTGATTGAAATTACTACAACTCTATAGAAGGTTTTTCAATTCATTCAATCTTTGTCACTAGTTCAAAACTATGTACCTATATTTTTCTATATGTTTATAAGCTGATAATGAAGTCGAATATTGAATACTTAAATAATCGATTACGTAGAACGAATACAGAAAAAACAGGTATTTCGACGAAACTTTTACTAGCCCCAGTAGATCTGAAATATAGAAAAAAAGGAAACATGTTTAGCACAACAATAGTGTCCATCATCAGCCGAAGAATGAAGATTGTCACGGGAATGAAAAATTGTTACATTGTGGACGGCGGAATAGCGTAGTGGTTGATTGATTGATTGATTAATAGCAGAATGATCAGTCAGGGTTCGAAGACCAAAACACTGCAGCCTTTGGGCCTATTGTATTCCTGATCATGCTGTTGACTTAGGTGAACAGGTTCGCTACCTTGATAAGGTTCAGCAGCCTCTTCACCAAATCATTCTTTGGAAAGGCCTCTTGAGAGTTTACTGGTCCCAGAAGGTTGTATCTCCAACGCGCTAGTGCTTGGCACCATGGGTGGCAGTTTCCTCCTCCTCATTGCATAGTCTGCATATGGGTTCATCTGTATAAATGCCCATTTGATGCATCATGTTTCCTCAAGGGGCAGTGACCGGTTATTAGTCCCGTCACTTGTTTGATCTGACTTCTGTTTAGGCTCAGAATGTCGTTAGTCACTGTTTTGGACAGTGTTCCAACCATCAGTTTACTGTGTCTTTGTCCTGGGACATTGTTCCAGTATGCCTGATGCCTTTCTTGCATCCACCTTGCCAGCCAGCCGCGTATTGAGGTTTTGGGGATACCAAACACAGGTTCCGGTCCCATAAACAACGCCGCAGACCCTTATTGCCTGGCAAGAGCGTCAGCTGCTTCATTGCCTTCAATCCCCTTATGCACCCATTGAAGAGTTACCTTGTTGTGGTTAGCCAAGGTAAGCAGGCTTTGAAGGCAATCCCAGACCAGTTTTGATCTGATTTAATTGCATGTTAAAGATTGAATGGTCGCCTAACTATCTGAGCATATGAGGATTTGTTTACCTCTGTATCCTCTTACAATATTCTCTCTCAGGCATACCTCCCCAAGGAAGCACAAATCCTGGTTCTGGGTCTATCTCCATATATTCCGGCTCCCGTACCCTCATCAGTCTTAGAACCGTCAGTGTACCACACTAACGTGCCCTCCTGACAGCGTAGTGGTTGAGGAGCAGAGAATTTTTTTTGGAAATTTTCGTAGCCTCGGCCGGAGATGGTTCCGCACGATACGCTGTTGCGTTCCGATTGACAGTGCTGCTCCTCAGGTGGCGTACGAAGTTAGTAACAGAACCTACACATAACACACATGGGCCAAAGGACCGCTCGTAGGATCGATGGCTAGTTGGCATGTAACTACATACATATCAACGAAGTACATAAACTACTACTACCACTGTCACATTGTATATCATATAAGTGGATATTTATATTTTTGTTTTTCCTATAACTAGGGAAAACACGGTGGAAAACTGACATTGGGGACCCCAATTATTCAAATGTTTTATTTTTTATTTTTCCATCAGTTGATGACGGCTCTTTGTCCGAAACGTGTTTCCCTTCTGATCCTCAACAGGATATCGCATGTTGTGGAGATGATCTAGAGTTTGTTCTTATACATAACCATTCCACTCCACTGTACCGAAGATAGTCAGCTGATATTTTTGATTTTCATGTCTTCGTACTGCTGACAGGCATCAATAGATTTTGATAATTTTTGTGGATTTTTGGAAATAATTTTTGTAATTGAGTATTTATCTAATATTAATGATGTTGTTCCGTACTAGTACTGTAAGCCAGAGATGTCGTTGCGTAATTATTTATTCTATTTTTAAATTTCCATACCATGTATTTTGCATCAAACGGTGAATTTAGAAAACCTTTGAGAAATCGATTATGTTTTTAATACAAGTGCTTTCAGAATATCTTCTTTGCCCAATGTAAACGGAAAAAGAAAACTTCGGGGAAGCCTTTGTAAGTATTAATTTTCTGATGTTGTGGAATTGGGTATGAGGAACTTATATTTTGTCGAAAGAAAATGTACCTAAGCTCCATTCTGATGACGTGTTTCATATTGAGTGAAACATTTACTCTGTAAATATTGTTTGTAAATAATGGTGTTTTCATAAAACACGAGATATACATATAGTAAATAAGGTGTGTGTCTTCAAAAAATCTTGTATGTTAATTTATTGAAAAATGTAATTTCTTAACAAAAATAGTTAATTATAATAAATATTCGATATTTTATATTGATTCAATTCGTTCCACCCACTTTTCCACAATGATTTTTTTTTTCATTTTGAAGACGGTATATTCTCTCAATTAACATTGATGAAATCTCTCAAGGTCGATTTTCTTCGATCGAACTTTTTCTGGATACACTAGACAATATTTGTTTTGTGAAGCCATCAAATTATTGATATCTATCGAAAGCTGATGCGAATACCTACATTAATTAAGTATAAAGATAAACGATCAAGGTATTTGTAGAGATAAACAAAAAGTGGCACTGGACGTAATTTCGAAAGCCAGCCAATCTTATCACAATATCAATAACGATTCCCATTTCACAAACACATGAGTTCACTAATTTCCTGTTGAACAACAAATTTCTGCGATCACGTTGCATTCATGTATGTGCACCAGTTTCTGTTTACACGCTCCATTGATAAAAATATTCAATAGGTCGCGTGCACGAAGACCGACCCTGGAGGCAAAATATTGAAACACAACCTCATTCTTCTGTGAATTATTGAAACACAACCTCACTTTTTTATTTGGTTACAGAGGAATCAAAAGGTTGAAATAGTTTTTCACAATATTTCGACATACGAATCGTGTTTCTTGCGTTGTTCATTAATTCAAGCATGCCTTCGCATTGTGCTGTTGTACAATGCACAAAAAATGCAGCAAGAGACTAGGGAATATGATTTTTCAGGTAAATAGTAATCTCACATAGTTAGCATTATGAAATGTTGTCATTCCTTATTAAAATTCCTTCTGCCTTCTGCCACTTCTGCAATACAAGCTAATGCTGCTAATAGATTGAAAATGTCTACAACACACACGATCGTCAGCATGTCAGACCAGTCCTACCGATTGATTGCATGAATCCGATCTTCTTGCATTATTCTAGAAATTTCAGGTATATTTCTATTAGCTGATCCTATTGCAGAAGGAACTCCGATGAGAAATCAGAGAAATAACCAAATTTCAAAAATGAAAACTGTGAGTGACTATAGTAGGTACTTACTTTTGAATCATAATGTACCATCCGGATTTCTTCATCTTCCGCTGCAGTTTTTGTGCATTTTACAACAGCACAATGTGATGGCATAAGCGAATTGATGAATAGCGGAAAAATACGATTCATATGCCAAAATAATTGTGGAAAACTATTTCGATCACTTGTAAACAAATATGTTTTGCCTCCAGGGTTGGTCATCTGACAGTTCTTGCACGCGACCTATAAAGAGGTCTACTTGAATGTCTAGAGATCAAAATTCAACTCAAGAAGAATCTTTCGTAAGTTGCAAGTTCCACTTTCTTAGATATTATTATAATGAATTTTGAATGTTTGCTTGGTTGCTATTGGTGTTATTTGTTGGTTCAATGATAGATAGCATATCAATTTCTCATGTCTTCGAAACTAAGGATATTTTATCGATAGGTAAGTAACAAAAATGCATGTTTCTTCACTTTTCAGTCAAATTTGCGTTATCTCATATTGCTCGCTTTGGGATTTTCGAATACGTCTGAGTATTCACAACAGCTCAGTATTGCATTAGCGATATATTCTTTTGGTCATAGAATATTATAATATCATAAGATCTTGAAATAGATCTTATAAAGTGAGACTTCATGATATATGTTGCGATATATCACTGTTATCTGCAATAACAATTTCATTATGTCATGAGAGAGAGTCTCCTGAAATGCCAAATAATAATAGTTATTAACGTTACAATGGGTTGTTATAATCCTCGGCTGCGCCTCGGATTACAATATTGAACTTAATCCGTTATTTGCGTATCGGCCGTGTGCCGTTCAAGATTTTTCGTAGTTCTACAGAAAAATCACAACATCGTGTTGTTATAGAACAGTTGAAAACAATCTTGACGCACTGTCATCTGAATACTTACCGTTAATTCAAAATAACAGTATATGGGATTACGAAAAATAGTTTTTCTGGATAGGTCCATAATGCATTATCTAATAAACATAAATTATTCCAATTTTTTTGGGATTTTCTCTCCTCGTTTCTATAAAATAAAAATATGAATATTATTTCAATATACGTGTTGTAAGGACAAATCATCTGATTTGTCCTTACTACACGTATATTGAAATAATATTCATATTTTTATTTTATAGAAACGAGGAGAGAAAATCCCAAAAAATTTGGAATAATGAATGTACCACCTCCTCGATTAACCTACAGACAGTATTTAATAAACATAAAATTGAAAATAACACAACATTGAGTGAACATGAGAACAATTGAACTGAGGAAAGGTGTATATATTTATAAGAGTAAAGATTTGAAAAGTGAACTCTGAGGTGGAGCTGAACGTGGAAAATATGTTGCAGAACATCGTCAATATGGCAAATACTGCTGTAGGAAAATCGTCAACTCACAAGGCCCCCAAGATGAAATTGTTGTGTAGTGTTTCTGGACTTCCAATATCATTAGCAGTAGCGGTAAACACATTTATAATGATACTAGGTAAGCATTTGGTATGCTATATACAGGGTGTAATTTAAATGATGACTGAAAACGAAGAATATGTTTCCTTAGCTCATTTCGAGAAGAAAAGTTTTTATGAACATATGCCCGTAACCTCTTAACTTCCGAGCTATATAGGGTGTTACAATTTTAGAAAAAAAATCGTCTTATCATAACTTCAATACTGTTCTTCATATTACCATGAAATTCGACATACACCTACTAAGTACCATTAGGCATTTTCTGATGAAGGAGATTATTTAATATTCCCACCAGTGGCGTCCGTATGAGATGTATACTGGAGAGTTTTTTAAAAAATATATTGGACGCTCTTGCTTTTTTTGTATTTGAAATAATGACATTCGATCGACTACGTTGCGGTTTTATTTTGACTAGTATTCACATTGCAAAAGTTTCTAATCGATATAGTTCGAATGTACAGAGGTTTAGGGCATATGTTCATATAAACTTTTGTTTTTAAAATGAGGTAAGGAACCATGTCCTATAATTCTAGTCATCAATTAAAGTACACCCTGTATAGAATGAAATAATTCCTCATCAAATTGAAGATTTGAAATCGTTTTTTGAAGTATTTTTGTGTGTGTGTGTTAGATTATCGCTGACACCCCATACGAGGATTTCATTTTCGAATTGAGAAAGAAAATATTTCTAGAAATTCATTTCGAACTATCATCGAATTCATTTTTCAAATTTAAAATAATTGGCCCAATACTCACGAAAGTAGAATCATAGTTATTTATTATACAAGGGAAAAACTTAGTATATAGCTCGAGATTAGGTTGTCCCGACGCGTAGCGGAGGGAGACAGAAAACCGTCAACAAAAACTTAATATTTTTCCCGTGTATCATACACAATTTTTTTCATTGACAGGAAAGAGGACGAATCAATAATGTGAAGAAATTACATTATATTGAAATCAGAAAATTATCGACATGAAATTTAAAGTCTTTAACAGGAATTAAACCTGCGTTGCAAGCATCTCTTTCTCGGATACGGTGTTTTGTCTTATTGTACGGAACTATACTATAGCACAGCAAACCATCAACAGTGTATCCGGGGAAAAAGTACTAACTTTCATCCCACAGGAAAAAATATATTTATGAAAAGTGACATTTCATGACCTGTCAACAGAGATGAAATGTCAAACTTTCTTCCCGTCACATAAAACATATTTTTCAAATATATTACCTATTATAGATTGCTCCATTGATTTTTCAGTTGCCACAATATTGCTCTTGTCACAGTATGGGGTGATTCCAGCTAAGAAAACTGGATTCTACTGTGGAGATCCTCTGTATTCCCACAAGTATACAGGTGACACAATCACTTCAGCAATCCTGGGATTCACTGCAGTTGCTCTCATACTCCTGATCATACTCCTGACGGAGATATCAGCCCATGGATCGTGGAGAAAAATAAACCGCCGCAGAACATGGATTCATTTCCAAGAGTGTATCGTAGGAGTAATAGTGGTATTTCTTTTGACAGCAGTCGCCAAATTGTTGGTGGGGGAACATAGGCCACACTTTTTCGACGTGTGCCAGCCGGATACAGCAAAAAATTGTACCAAGGGGGAGTTTGTGGAGAGTTTTGAATGTACGAATACGGAACAAACCTGGTTGACTGTGTTCGATTCGTCGTTGTCTTTTCCTTCGGGGCATTCTTCGATTTCTTGGTTCTTGGGCATGTTGTTATCAGTAAGTTGAAAAATCTCTGTCTATCGATTCTCAATAAACTCATGTTATATATATTTTACAGTACATCATCCAAACCACACTGACCACCGTGAATACTGGAGCGCTCATGAAACCATTCTTGATATCAGTTTGTCTCACTTGGTCTCTGGTGTGTTCTTTATCCAGAATCACTGACAGAAGACATCATTGGTGGGATGTGCTAGCTGGTACTACTATTGGGATTCTTTATTCCCTAGTTTCCATGATTATGATTCTCAAGAGAATTCTAGCAATGGAAAGAAAGATGCTGGATTCAAGAATGAAAGCTAGTGAATTGGTTTAAATCAAATTATTTATTGTGATTTTAATATTACGCTTATCAGAAAGAGCAATATAGACTGAAAACAATTTATAAATGTGCAACACCCAGTACATGGCTCGGTGCGTACGTATGTATGTGCGTATAATCAATATTTACTGGTGTGGGTTTTTATTGACGGGGAAAATAGCATTAGCACTTTATCTTTTTGACCACAAACATAACTTTTTATGATTTATTTTACGAGAAAAGACAACACGAGTTCTTGATATCTTATAACATCTGGAAGAGAAGCTAAGAAGATTGAATATACAGGGTGTCCGGAAATTATGCGCAAAAAATCAAGGGGATGATTCTGCATGAGAAAACATGAAATTTATTTTATATATACGTGGGGGCGGAAATGCATAGTCTTCAAGATACAGTGTGTTGAATTTAAAAAAAAAACGTTTTTTCATGAATATCTCGAATATCCTTCCACCGATTTACTTGAAATTTGGCAGTGATATTTTTTGTCATGAGGGGCTGATTTAGCCGTAATTGAATTGGAATAATGAAATCCAGTGGCGTCCTGGGGGACACCCTACCGAATATTATTGTCATTAAAATGTGCGCCACGGATTTTTTCGAATTCTATATCTTCATATCCTATTGACCAACTGAAAATACAACATTTTTGTCTCTCAAATTGTTTTGATATTTCGCTTCGTTTCCGTGGAAACACATAAATACCAATTTATTGTATAAATTTGTGCAAACAGTTTCTTCAAAAACTGGGGTGAAAATGAATGTGTGATTCATGTCCATAGACATAGAATAAGAATGAAGATTCATTTTCTTCAAATAATTTTATAATACATGTTTGACACACTCTACACTCTGTATATTGAGAGCTATGTATCCTGGGACCCAGGTACAAATAAAAAAAATCATGTTCTCTCATGTTGAATCACCTCCAAATTTTTTTGCGCACGATTTCTGGTCACCCTGTATGTAAAGTTGCGGTAAATAAACTGCATGTCACAATCTATTAGTTAACCAATGGAACAAAGACTTCATTTTGTCTTGAAGTTGTGTGCAAAAATTCAAGGCGGTGATTCTATTTGAATATTTCAAAAAGATCGTATAACATTTTTTAGAAAACTCATTAATAAAGTAGCCTTCAGAGTTGATATTTTGAAAATAAATATTCTTTCTTCACTTTCTCCCTATGACACTGGTTTATTTCAAATTTGGCACACGAGGATTGTTTACATTTTCAAATTAGACAAGAAATGTACAAAATTTGATTATTTTATCACGGAAGGTTTCTGAAATTTTCATATAAAACCCCCCAGGGGGACTCATGCTCATAATATGAACTTCTTTCACTATTTTTATTCCTAGAATCTGTGTGTGAAATCCTTATTATGTGATTTCGGGACAGCCTGTATGTAATAAGTTCACCAATTTGGAAGATTGAAATAGACGATATTTACCTACTTCTGTCTTTTTCTTACCTATGAAAATAGCCACTACTAACTAACTAACTTCTATTTTGTACGAAAGTAAGAATAAGGAACTTTTGAGCATAACCTCAGCTACAGAAACCTGTGAGATAATTCTCACTTGCACAGAATATAATATAATGGTTCATCTCAATCAGAAAATCGATGACAATTTGATGAAGCTTTTACATCAACGAATAGTTCCGAAGTTTAGGAAGTGACCTAGATAAAGTTGCTGAATTTCGTTAACGAAGACGCTGTTTTCGATTCTGATGAATTTGTCAACGTTTAAATTGTGAAACAACTGTGAAGTTCAAAGAGGCCCATGTCTAAAATCAGATAACTCAATGAAGTTTCCTAAATTGAGATCAGTTTACGTGAAGATTGAGGAGAAATATTGAATACGTATTTGTTCTTATCCGATTTGATTTGTCTTCAGTAAAAAATGGTCCTTTCACTGCTGTGCTGATGAATTTGTCAATTTGTTCCACCAATACCAGTGGAGGAGGGTTTTTTGTTTTTGAATTCACACGCTCGGTAGTTTGTTGAAAAACTTAGCTCCGACATACCCCGGACTTTTCTCAAATTTTGCCAATTTGATTCGTTCTTTAATTTTAGACTAACTGCCTTACTTGTATAAATCGTTGCTATCTAAAATAAGCCTCAACAAAATAACTGTTATCTAGCAACATAAATAGTAAGATATCAGGTAAAAAACAGCTGATAAAATATTATTCCTCATTGCCGCAGAAATCGGTGGATTTCAGGGTCAGCAGATGACGATTTAGCAATGGAAAAAACATGCCTAACTTTCAATCTACGTCAAAAGATGCGAGTTAGAAATAATTTCACCATCATTAATCGTCATCGCTAAGTGCCATATAATGATCTCGAAATCCCCCCATGATGGATTAAAAAAAAATTAGTGAACTTGGTGGTCATCTCACAAATAATATACATTACTATGCCTACAAAAAACTCAACTCTAACAACTTTTCGAATTTCATCCGATTTTCCGTATGACATCGATCCCAAGATAATCCTCCCTTTACGCCCTCATGCCCAAATTCAATTCAGTTGATACGCGAAAGCAACACAACAATAAATTTGTTGGAGCAGTCTGGCTACCGCATCGGGACTTTTGGGTCGATACGCACTACCCCCTATCCAGACCCACCCCCTAGTCTCCTAATGGCAGCAGGGGCGGTTCTGGGACATTAAAGGGTTGAATATGTTTCGCGGCTATGAATAAATCGATGGGTGCAACGATGTATGGTGTTCAAAAGGACAGGGACGACTTCTTGTTTTGGGAGGTGGAGAACTCCTTCGAGATTCCCTATCATATATCTTTCTATTGAAACAACTAGCTGCTAGCATAGACTACAGAAGATAAACTATAAGACAGTTCACTCGTTCATTTCTCGACTTCTAAGAGATCTCGCCGCAACCTAGCCGACCGCTGGATTCTGCCGGCTAACGACTGCCGGGGCCTTTGAAATCGCAATCTAATTAGCTGTCAACCGACCGCAACCGTTTGGCGGTGCAATGATTTATAGAAAAGCAAAAAATGCAATGTTGGGCTGTACCGACAAACGGATTTCACTAAGTGAACTATCTTCTAGAATTCAGTAATCTTTGCTGCTAGCTAGTTTTCTCTCAAACAGGTCTCTTTATGTAGTGGTCGACGGAGATCCATCTGAATCTCTCATCATAAATGCTGGTGTTCCGCAAGTATCAATTATAGCACCAACACTATTTCTACTACATATCAACGATTTGTTAGAAGCAACTTCATGCATGTTCAGTACACAGCCTCGCGGATGATGGTACCCTCCATATGGCCTTCTCTTCCAAGGCTCCAATCCCAGCCAGGCAAATCAAAATCATACGAGGGAGAAATGTTGACAACATAAATATGGACTTGGCAACAATTCACGAATGGGGATCCAATAACTTGGTAGATTTCAATGCAAACAAAACACAAGCATGCCTTTTCTCTAGAAAAGCCGATCTCTCTGTGCTCAACATTAGCTTTTCAGGAGTAACCATACCTTCGAAGTCATCCATTTCGATGCTTGGTATTACTATCAGCAATAACCTTTCTTGGGAAAATTACGTGAGATCAATTGCTAAAAGTGCATCCCAAAAACCTGGTTTTCTGTTTCGGGCCAGGAGCTATTTCACTTCCAGTCAGCTGCTTATGATCTATAAGGCACACACACACGACCTGTCCTGGAATACTTTTCCCATATTTGGAGTGCAACACCCAAACATACCCTGAAACAGTTGGATTCTGTCCAAAAAAGGGCAATTCGTTTCGTGGGTGATGCCTCGCTTACAAACTCACTCACTTCTCTGGAACACCGTAGAAAAGTAGGCAATCTGGCTCTATTTTATAGATATTTTCATGGACGATGCTCTTCTGAAATATCAACAATTGTTCCTTCCTTGGCAGCCCCCGCGAGATTAACCCGTCGGGTTGAGGCCTCGCATCCAACGAACAGCGAGGCTCTGGAACACATTGCCAAGGGAGGTATATCAGCGAGGCATATAATCTCCAGAAATTAAAGAAGAACACAAATTCCTACCTTATTCCCCTTGGATCTCACGATGTTCTCTGAACATTACAGGATATCCCCTTTCGTGGAAACCAGAACATAAATATAATTCAATGTTCGTCGTGGCATATAGCCAGGAAAGTAGTTGTTTTCTGTTGAATAAACCGAAAAAGAGTTGATATTTTTATTCCATAAAGAATACGAATTCTCAAGGTATTTTTTGATATGTATGTCCATTTTTTATTTTTTTTATGTTCATGATTTATCTGAGAATATTCCTTTTCATTGCTTTCACCCAATCAAGGGGTTCAAACTGGAACGATGGAATCTTGTTATTTGTTTTAGACCTTCAATCGCAGATTCGTGATTAGTTTTTTTCAATTTAGAATTTCTTTCCACGTCCTGCATGATGAATATGAATTCGTCATACATCAAAAAATATTTTATTGTTGTTAATAATTTCATCACTTAGATGTCATGAAATAGGTCAATTATTAAGCTTGCTTCTACCAGTATTTCTATTGCACTACCTGGTATACCAAATAACAATAGGTTTAATGATGTGACATCAGATAGATTTTCTGACTAGATCTATAATGCCTTATCTAATAAACATGATATTTAAAAGGAGACAATATAAAGTAAACATATGAGTATAATTGAACAGAGTAAATGTGTATATTAATTACAGTAACGATTTGAAAAGTGAGCAAAGATGAAGCTAAACGTGGGAATTATGTTGCAGAACATCGTCAACATGACAAATTCTGCTATAGAAAAATCTAAAACTCACAAGGCTCCCAAGAGGAAATTGTTGTATAGTATTTTTGGACTTCCGATATCAATAGCAGTAATGGTAAACATATTGATAATGATACTAGGTAAGCTTCCGATATGCTATATTTTATATAGAATGAAATGATTCTTCTTTGAACCATACGACGATTAGAATTGTTTTTTTTTTCATCAACTAGGGTGAAATGACTTATTATCGCTCTACACTGATCTGAATCAATCAATCTATATAATACAATATGATATATCTGAAAAAGTGTACAGTTAGTTTATCACTGAAACTTCGAAGAGGAGTGCGAAGTTTTTATTCAAAAATTGAGGAAGAAAATATTTCCAGAAATTCATTTCGAAATATCATATTGAGTTCGTTCGTTTAAATTTGCATTATTGCAAGGATACTCACGAAATTGCTTTGTGAGATCGAGTAGAGTGAAATATTCTATTTATATGTATATATAATTATATAACCTTACAATTCCATAGATTGTTGAATTTTAATATTTCAGTTGTCACCATATTGCTGGTATCAGAGAATGGGCTAATTCCAGCTAAGAAAACTGGTTTCTACTGTGGAGATCCTCTGTATTCCCACAAGTATACAGGTGACACAATCACTCCAGTAATTCTGGGAGTCACAGCAGCTGCTCTCATACTCCTGATCATACTCCTGACAGAAATATCAGCCCATGAATCGTTGAGAAAAATAAACCTCCGCAGAGCATGGATACATTTCCAAGAGTGTATCGTGGGAGTATCAGTGGTACTTCTTTTGACAGCAGTCGCCAAATTGTTGGTGGGGGAACATAGGCCACACTTTTTCGACCTGTGCCAGCCGGATACAGCAAGAAATTGTACCAAGGGGGAGTTTGTAGAGAGTTTTGAGTGTACTAACACGGAACAAACCTGGTTGACTGTGTTCGATTCGTCGTTGTCTTTTCCTTCAGGGCATTCTTCGATTTCTTGGTTCTTGGGCATGTTGTTATCAGTAAGTTGATCACGTTTTCAGTAATCTCATATAATTTTGAATTGACTCGCCGTTACTTGATGGAAATACATGGTAAAGGTAAAAACTTCACAAACGATAAGATTTCCACAAAATTCTCAAAGACACGACATTTTTCGCTAACACAGTAGCTTCGTCAGGTGATATACTGGTACGATGAACTAACTAAACTAACTTTGGCTTGCTTTATATATCCTACTTTCCCAACCTGAAGGATTAGTTCGATATGGACAGGTTCTATAAACCTTCATTTTCGGAAATTAGGCACAATATCTACATTGAAATACGGTGTACTGGATTAACTTGAAGGGGTTGATAGCAAATACATTATTACTTACTAAGAAAACAAATTCAACAGTGGGGAACTATTGAGGTCTAATTGATCGCTGAGTAAAATGATTGAGTTTCATTCCTTCATTTTCTACGTGTGAAAAATCGAAATTATCATCAAAACTATGGTTTTCTTCTAATATATGGTTGGCGTATGTTGAATTTGTACCATACTTCAACTTGTCTTGGGTGATATCCTCTTCTCTCTTCCTTTTTTTCAATCTATCTATCGGCCTTTCTTGGCCAACTTCTCTTTTCCTCCTCCCCTCCAAGCCCAACCTCACCATCAAGTGGTGTGGGGAGGACAGACCGCGGCCGCTCGACGGATGAAGCATTTTGGGACCATCTTTGCTATCTCTGGGCTAGATGGGACAATTTGTGGACATCTGTGGCAGGAATGGGGCGATTTGCTGATGTCTGTCTAGGTGGCCGAGGACTGGTCAACGAGGCTCTGGCAACCTAATCCAAGCTGTGGGAACCCGTGGTGATGGATGAATGGCACCGAGGTATGGTGTCGCTAACGGGGCCTCTGGGAAACAGGGCAACATCTCAGAGTAGGAAGTCTTAGCCCTGTGCAGGGGACACCACAGGGCTGGACCAACCCCTTCCCCCGTCACTCGTAGGAGAAGGAAAACTTTTGGCCTTCTTCGTAGACGAGAACAGGCATCGGAAGAGTAATCTTCAGGAACCTGAACGAAAAGGGTCTTTCATATTGAAGTGGCCCTTAATACGTACCATGAGTCGTATATGGTAAGATTGATAACGGCATGTAGGTAAGATACAATGGGCCACTAGACCTAAGTGTCGTCGGAGACTTCGGTCAGATGGAGTGTTTAGTGGGTATACCCTACACTATCATATGGGGGATTGGACCCATATGGTGTCCATAAAGGATTTCGACCACCTCGATGAAAATGTTGAATTTGTTTTCTTCTTCAGAAAATTAATCTTATGTTCATGAATGCGCTGATTAAACGTACGCCCTGTCTGACCGATATATACCTTCCCAGCGAGCACAAACATCCCTGAGATGTTTTGGGATGTTTTGAAAATGTTGGCATGAAGATGTTATTTTGAGACGTAATATGCACTGACCAAAGAGGTCTTTGAAGGATATTGAAGTATTGTTTTTGTTCTTCTGTGGCATTTCTTTGTTTGCCTACTGAGAGGTATCCCTGGGATGTTTTGGGATGTTTTAGAAATGTTGGCATGAGGATGTTATTTTGAGGCGTAATATGCAAATATTTTCATGTTCAATCTATTTTCAATGCATTTTTTCATTCAAGGGAAATGGAATCCTAATGCAAAAGTTCATTTTGACAAAAGGCTTCAGAAAAGTACCTCGAAAATGTTTTTTTACAGCGATTTAATGTGCGCGAGACGCTTTGAAAATGTTCTGTTGTGTCCATGAAAAGGCTTTAAAAAGAACTAGGGAGAAGGTAGTTTTGTGACATATCAAGGACATCTCGATAATTGCCGCCTGCGGCGGACATTGGCTGTTCTATAATAGTTCTATTCATGTGTGAACAGAACATCGCAGTGGAGGTTCAATGTCTCGAAATCTCGTACTTTTAACATCTCTGAGATGTTTAGGTGCTCGCTGGGAGTTAATCCTTCAGGTTGGGTAAGTACGATATATAAGCAAGCCAAGGTTAGTTTAGTTCATCTTACCAGTATATCATCTAACGAAGCTACTCTGCTAGCGAAACATATCGTGTGTTTGAGAATTTTGTGGAAATCTTATCGTTTATGAAGTTTTTACACAAACTCATTTGATATATATTTGTTACAGTACATCATCCAAACAACTCTAACCACCGTGAACACTGGCTCGCTCATGAAACCATTTTTGATATCAGTTTGTCTCACTTGGTCTTTAGTGTGTTCTTTGTCCAGGATCACTGACAGAAGGCATCATTGGTGGGATGTGCTAGCTGGTACTACTATTGGGATACTATGTTCCCTAGTCTCCATGATGATAATTCGCAAGAAAATTCTAGCAATGGAAAAGAAAGTGATCGATTCTGAAGTTGAAACCAGTGAGGAGGACATGGCATGAATTGATTAAGATCATTTTATTTATTGTGATTTTGATATTACGCTTATTAGTCAGTAATATACAGGGTGGGTTACGTTCGATGGTACCTCAGACGTTTATGAACAACTGGACATCTGATCATTCTGAAAATTTGGTTACTCAAGTAGTTGCTCATGGTCTATCGATCTAAAATATTTTCAGTAAAGCAGCGTTGCCGTGCTTACAGCAGAAAATAGTAGCAACTTTGATATTTCTAATGGAATATCCTGTATTTCATTGCATTTTTAGATTCTCCCTGAAGAGCTGATTATATTGATTCATCACACTTGGGGTCTAGCGGAAATGATTACAGAGATATAGGAAGATATACAGGTTGATCAGAATTCTAGATCTTGAGCTGAGCTACCTTGTATAATTTCGAATATACGTGAATATAAAGTGTGTCCATTTAGTGTAATTCTTCGATATCTCGAAAGCCATAACCTATAGAGAAAAACTTTGGAGAAAAAACTTTTTCAGTTACTAAAGTTGCTCATTTCAAAATTATTTCCAACATTACTGGGTGTTTTATAAAAGCAGGGCAACTCGAAGAAGAGTTTTTTCAAATGGAACACACAGTATTGTTCATTCGGAATTAATTCCGCCGAGGTTCACCTTCACATCGCTGTAAAAAAAATTGAAATCGGTTGCGGCGTTGCCAAGTTATAATTGATAAATCTATTTTCACCATTATTGAAGAGTCATGTTGAATTGGGCATGGTATATTCATTTATTCAAATTTTGAAAATATTTTTGGGATACGGTAGAAGCAAGGTCCAACGTATACCAATCCAGTAATTTTGCGACATGTTCTTCAACAGGGTGCTCAATTTTGCATTTAGAATTTCGCAAGATTCAGATGACATTCATCAGAATTTTTCAAATGGATCCAAAAATTCATTCCGACATCTTTCGCCTTTTTATCGCTGGAAAAAAAAATCGGAATCGGTTGCGGCGTTGTCAAGTTATGTTTAATTTCCTTATTTTAACTACTATTAGACCTATTTCGGGGTAATTTGTATGTCATAGTTCTTTCATTAATTTGTATTGTTGAAATATTGCGTTGCTACTGTATAATCAAATTTTTTCATTGACCATTCATATATTTTTTACAAAAGGAACATTTACATGCTCTCCAAGTTTGAATTTTCTTCGAAATAATTGTGTAATGACCTCGCCAAACCAAATAAAATACTGGCTGAGTGTCTTTTTGGTAGTAGAAAATGTCAATTTAATTTCAATACTGTAACTTTTTTAGTGCTTGTGAGAAAAATTGTTAAACAAATTTTGTTGTTGTTCCCCTTCAAGGGGCTGTATCTTAACATGGGATGCTTCAATGAAGTTTCTTTATATGAAAAATGCTATCTTTTTTTCGATGAGGAATCACCCCCTTGAATGTTTCACACTTATTTAGTAACACGACCCTGTATACTTATGAATTCAAGAAATAATATGACAATTTGTCAAGAAAATGGAAAATATTTCGTCATGTGCCGTCTGATTTCCCCGTACCTATCCTGCGCCCCGCAAGCGTGTGCCATAGGCCATGGCCTTATGGGTGATCCGGGCCTGGCCCTCAAGCCGGTCCTGCTGTTCTGCTGCCGGCATCGTGCGCATACCGGGCCCCTTTTAGGGTCCTGCTGGCGGCCCATCGCAGTGCCGCGAGAATCCTGCGGACTGCCAGTCCGGCATTTCCTGCAGCCTGGAAGGCCGTCGCAGGACCAGCAGGAGGGACCGATTGGGGGATGCCTGAACGGCCGAGGGCGGTTTTTTCCTGCAGACATGACTCGCGACTTCTACACCAGGACGGTGAGTTGTAGAGATGGCTAGAATTTATTTTCCTGCGAGGAGCATCCGAATTCAGAGAGACTCGCAAAAGTGGTCCGATCGATTTCATTTTTTGTGAAAAATAACTCTATCAGGAAGAGACGCAGCCTATCGAAATTGAGCAGGGTTGGGAAATTCCAAGTGGGTTTTTCGAGGAGATTTTCCGAAAAACACGGTTCGCTTTAAAACGACATATCTCCTGAACCAATAGACTAAATCCAAATTTGAAAAATGCACCGTATGCCTCTTTGATGACGCAACAAATTATTATAACACCATATTTTCGTGCATCCATCGGAAAATGGAAAAACAAATGAAAATCAAAACATCAAAATTTGAAATCCTTTCAATTTAATATATATCGAAAACAAATGGAAAAATCGAAAATTATCAGAAGTGCAAAGTTATCCACTGGAACATTTCCTACAAATTATTGCTCAAAATTTTTTCTGTGAACCCAATAGTACAGGAAATAAAGTGAAAAATATGAAAAAAAAATTTGAACGACCCATAGGGTACCATGAAGATATATTGAAAAACAAAAGATTATCGATAGATGAAGATCATCGACTTCCACTGAACCATGAAATATTTTTTCCTTTTGTTGATTGGAAGATGGAACAAAAGTGTTGAAAATTGTATTCTCAGATGATTCCAAATATCTCGAAAACAACTGGAAATATCTGAAAATGTTATAGAACCAGAATTATTCCTTTTGATAAGATCCACAAAAAATCCACATAACATTTTTCTCTGAATTCAATAGTTCGGGAGATACGATGAAAAAACTAAAAAATTCACAAGTTCCTAGATAATCACTTGCCAATAGAAAACGGGACAAAAAACAAAAGAAAGTAAAAAAAGCACACTCGACTGTCTTGATTTTTCGCCAATAAACTAGGTACCCAGCTCACTCGACTGTCTTAATTTTTGCCCATAAACTACGTACCTAGCTCACTCGACTGTCTTGATTTTTTCCCACAAACTACGTACCTAGCTTACTCGACTGTCTTGATTTCCCACAAAGAAGAAATATGTTGGCATTGTTTTAACTTTCTTTTGTTTCTGTTTTTTTAGTCCCTATTGGCAGTCGAGTGGGCTAGGTACGTAGTTTGTGTGGAAAAACCAAAACAGTCTAGTGGGTTAAGTACGTAGTTTGTGGGAAAAATCTCCAGTTCTCTGAACTGTCATATATAGCGTCGTATACACATCTTTGATGCCCAATGATAGTTTCAATATAAAAATATGCTCATGATATGGTGCCATGGCCTCTACTTCCATCTTACATGAGCAATGATAAAATATCATCTGCTTTTATAGCGTCGTATAAATTATCTGACCTCTATACTAATCTAATACCTAATGAAAACTATATCTTCACTAATCAGATATCTTTCAAAAACTACGTACCTCACTTGTTTATAATCTTCCCTATTCTGATTCTTCATATTGAACCCACATTTTTCACTGACTGTTTAGTTTCCAAGTTCCGTTGTTTACAATATTCGCTAAATTGGTTTCAAATGGAGGAATATCTTCTTCTGTATTATCTGGAGTTGAATTTTCAAACTCCATTACTATTTCTGCGTCGCAAATATTTCCAAATCTCCACAAACCTACTACTTACCTGATGGTCAAAACAACAACTCAAAGAATGTTCATCTACTTAGCTCCCAAGTTGTACAATAGAATTCCTGATAAATTGAAATGTATAGACAAGAAGGTATTCAAAAAACAATTGAGAGAGTTTATAAACGAATATCCGCAACATATGATTCGATCCCTCTTTGATATTGAAATAAAATGAAAAAATCATGCCTAAATTACATTGTCCTGCCTTCCACAGTACTTCATTGATTAATACAACATACCTACACATTTTAATATATAGTATGATGCAAATGTATGGAATAAATTCATTTCGAAACAAGACGACTTCCGAAAAAAATCCAAAAACTAGAGTTCAGAACTTTTTTTATTGTGTATTTTTTCAACTAGACGACCCTTCGATGTTCAATTCTCAGTAGCAGACCACTGCAAGATTCAGTTAACCAAATCATAATCCATTTTAATTGCAATATTCTTATGCAAAATTCTGACTGTTGGATAGACGATCAGTAGACCTTTCAAACGAGGTGTCACATGACCCCTGCTTGTATTTGAAAAAATCGTCCATTACGTCATTACTTCTACACCAGTGACGTAACATCTCTCATATGAATGTTATGAGATGAGGCTTCAAAAATTAAAACTCACGTGTTTTTGGAATTTCTTCAAATGTCGCCCATTTCTGAAATAATGAATTTATTCCGTTCATTTGCATCATACTGTATATATCCACAAGGTGTTTTTGAAATAAGTGCAGATATTCAGCACATTAATTGTGATTGATTGATTTTTTTCTAATTCTTCTAATCAACGAGAAATTTCATCCCAAAAACAGATCAATGTAGGAAAATGCGTTTTTGAACATTTAGCCAACCCAGTTCTCGCAAAGGTAAAGATATATTGTTCCGTTTACTCAAACCCCATATCACAGGATACATGAATTTGGTATTAGTTGTAGTCCCTTCAGATCCGATTTGGGTAAGGCTGGACTGAAGACATCATTGTGAGACAAGACAAGCGCTTTGCATAAAATGATTTTACTTATTTTATCTAGAAAAACCGAACCTGTCCACAGGTAACTAATCCTTCAGGTTGGGAAAGTAGGATATATAAGTAAGCCATGGTAGATTAGATTAGATTTGGAATGGGGCCTTCGGGCTATCTGCCTCCACACTGCGACCTTTTCAGATCTATTGTGTCTGCCCTCAAAATCGATTAGAGTTCTTCGGCTAGCCCCGCCTTCTCTATGAGACTCCATAGGCTAGCTTTCAGATCTCCTGTGTATCTCTGGGCTTCTGGTTTTTCCTCACCCAGCGTAAGGAACCTTAGTCTTGACAAGCCCTCACAGTGACAAAGTATGTGTACCGCTGTTTCTTCCTCTTCTTGACAGAACCTGCACAGCAGTTCTTCAGTCAGACCTACCGTACTCATGTGTTTGTTGAGCCTACAATGCCCTGTGAGAAGTCCCACTAGTATTCTAGTTGAACTTCGTTTCTGGCTTAGTATATATTCTGTGAATGTTGGTGATGGTTTTTTAATAAAAACTCTTTAGCCTGTCTCATTCCTGGCGAGTTGTTCCACCATTCTTGAGATTTGGTTTGCATCCCTGATTTGATACTAGTCTTTTGTATAGCTTTCGCAATACCACAGAAGGGTTCTGGGCCATTAAGAGCTTTGTTTGCTCCTGCTCGGGCAAGTGAGTCTGCCTCTTCATTGCCCTCGTACCCTGTATGTGCTGGTACCCATGCTAGAGTCAATCTGTTCTGACTGCCCAGTGCATTTAGGGTTTCTAAGCAGTCCCATACTAGAAGCCAACGTTAGTTTAGTCCATCCTACCATCAGTATATCACCTGACGAAGTTATACTGTGTTAGCGAAACATGTCGTGTGTTTGAGAATTTTGTGGAAATCTTATCGTTTGTGTAGTTTTTACATTAATTATAATAATAATAATAATAATTGATTTTATTGATAGTAAAATATAGATATGGTGAATATAATTAAATGGATCATACATTCATACTAATTAGTGAACTAATCCACTCAATAACCTTCTCCTTACAGGTATCCGGCCCCAACGGCCAAATCTTCGTGACCCACAAAGCCGAATACCTCGGTCAAGTCCTCGCCTCCCTAGCGGTCTCCCTCGGCCCCCTAGCAGCCGGCCTTGGCAAAGGCTACTGCTCCCCAGCGATAGCCTCCCTCCAGCAACGGGACGCAGGCGCATTCCCGGTGACCGGCCAGCAAGCCTCCTGGCTAGCCTCGCTCAGCCTCTTGGGAGCCCTGTTCGGCGCCCCGCTAGGAGGCTTCGCTCTCCGCTGGGGCAGGAGGAGGACCTTGGTGCTGGCTGGGGCCCCGCTGTCGGTCTGCTGGATCATCACCGTGTTCGCTGTGAGCGTAGAGGTTATGTGCGTCGCCGCGTTCGTCAGCGGGTTCCTGGTCGCCATAGTGCAGCTCAGTGCGCAAGTTTACGTGAGTGAGATAGCCGCACCGTCGGTCAGAGGGGGACTCAGTGCCCTCCTGAAGATAGCTGGTCACATAGGGGTGCTGGTGTCCTTCATAGCTGGGGCTTTTTTGAATTGGCGACAGCTAGCCGGGCTGATATCCTTGGCCCCAGCCGCTATGTGCGTAGTGCTGTGGAACGTTCCCGAAAGCCCTGGATGGCTGGTGCTACGTGGAAGAGGCCAGGAGGCGGAGGAGGCTCTGAGATGGCTCAGAGGTGACACTGCTGACCTGCAACTGGAGCTGGCGATTCTCCAAGCTCACGTTCTCACCAGGCCGGTGGCCAAAAATTACTTGGCCTCTTTGCACACGTTACGAACCCCAGCACTTATAGCTTGTGGCCTAATGTTTTT